GAAAGAGGACTGAGGCATTCACCCACCAGTGGGAGAGGTGGGAGCTGAGAAGAGGGAGCCAGCATGGCAGGACAGAGCAGTTCAGGGGGGATGCAGAGGGGACAGATGAGCCACAGCACATGCAACCAATGCTCCCTACTGGATCTGCAAAGGGTTTCCTCATGACTCTGGGGATCAGCACAGCAAAAAGCCTCCTCATCCATTTATAACCACAAATGTCACCCACTGACATGATTTCCCCTTGAAAAAGCAATAAATCAAGACAAAATTCTTGGTCACTTTGCCACATCTATTCAAATATTTAATTATTAGGCATAAATCCTGCTTTGTAGAAAGGAAAAAGAGCAGGGACCTCAGCCAGGAGGAGGAAGTGATGAGTGAGGGGCTTAGAGAGGTGGAAACGAGTCCTCTGGAAGTCAAGAACTTATCTTCAAAATTAAAAAGACCAAAGTCACTTTCCTGAACTTTAAACAACTGCTGAACTTGCTGAAAGATGAAAAATCCAATTGCCTGCTCCTTTCCTTTTCCCTTTGTCATTAGAAGCTCTGGGCAGAGGCTGTTGTCCCTTGAAGGCAGTGTGGGCGATGCACTGCTCAAAACTGGCACAGCACTTAATCACACTGCTAGCTTCAGAAGCCAACTTGTCTGACAAAAGAATTTCAGAGCTTAGAGTTGAACTATTCATGCCTAAAGCTTGTTGAAACAGGCTTTTTTCCCCCACATAATCTTTCCTTATATCAGTTTTTCTATCTCTGTTTTATTCCTTCTATTGCTTCCCTTTCACACTCCTCTCAACCTAAGGTCTGCCTGAGCAGTCCAGGAGAAACAACTAGAAAATAACCTCTCTTTTCTTCCCCAATCAAAAGAAGCCAACTGGTAGAGCTATAACTTTGTGAAACAGCTGGAGCAGAAGGGATGCACACGTATTTTGGAATAATGAAGCTTTACTCTAGCCACAGAAGGCAAATCCCAAGCTAAGAAAACACCGAAATTGGGAGGAAACGTGGGGGAGTCACACATCACTGCCTGCCCACGAGGACACAGGCTCAGGCCGACTGAGCAGAGCTTGCTGAGACTCTCTTTACAGTCCCTCCTGCAGCAGCAGCAAGATCTAGTCCTCTGCCTGACGTCAGGATGTGATCAGCTCCACCACAGCACCCTGGCTGTGACTCAGCCCACCCCCCCGTTTGACGAAGGCTGCAGCAGAACAGGTTTTTCACGCTCAGGTCTCCACCACAGCCCAGCCTGAGGACTCTGCCAGCCTGAGGAGCAGCAGGCCTGTGCCCCTGCCTCACCTGGAGCTGCGCCGCGGGCAGGTTGACGTCGGCCACCATCTCTGTGCAGGGGTGCTCCACCTGCAGGCGGGGGTTCAGCTCCAGGAAGTAGAAGCTGCCGTCCTGGCTGTACAGGTACTCCACGGTGCCCGCGCTCACGTACCCCACCATCTTGGCCAGCTTCACTGCACACTGCACAGCACAGCAGAGAGTTCAGTTCCAGCCCCCACGCTCCGTTACCCAGGCTCCCTTCACCCACTCCATCCACTCCAGGCTTTTTTGGCTGGGGTTACGAAACACCCAAGAGCTTGTGAAAGGCCTGAGAACTGCTCAAAGAAAAGCACCTGGCACAGAAGCTTTGATTTCCAGGTTATTTCATTTGCACTTTACAGAAGACTGTGTTTGAAGCAAATATTTATAATAGTCAGCATTAGACAATGGATACAACTCCTGCAGCATGCTTTTAATATGACAATATGCATTTAGAACACAATTCTCTCCTACTTTTGGGCTGCATGCATTTTTGAAGGGAGCTCTCCAGCTGCCTGTCAGCACGTGGCAGTCTCAGATTTGAAACGTGAGCGGTTGCCCACGCTCAGCAGCTTAAGTCAAAGAACCCTGTACTGCTCCTCTAAAACATGCAACAACACAAAACTCTTGGCGATGGCAAAAAA